AGGTAAGGCCTGTGTAGATTTATGTATCCTACAGTTTGGAAGAAATGTGCATAGTATTCAAAAATCTTAGTTAGAATTCCTCTCAAATCTCCCCAGTGCATTTATGGTGAAACCCTATCCATCCCAAAGCCAAGTAACTTTTCTAAAGGCCATGGTCCAGTCCTGAATGATAATACTGGCAGGAAAAATTAGATATGAATGTACCCAATTTAATTTGCAAAGAAATCCCATACCACAGTGTTTCCTTTAAGTATGTCCATAAATTTTCACAATTAGGGGAGGCAGTATTGTAGGTTGGAAAATCATAAGCTTTGAAGTAGACAAACATGACTTCAAACATTGGCTTTGCCACTTTCTAACTCTGTAGCCATGATTGAGTTTATTTCTCTGCCTCAGTTTTGTTATATTGCCTACCCTACAATACTGTGGTGAAGATCTGTGAGAAATTTTGCGTGCAGTATTAATACCACATGGTATGTCATGTAGAATGTGCCTTCAATGCAATGGGTAAATAGTTTTAACCAACTCTGAAAGCACCATCAAAACCACTGTTTTATGTAAGTTGCATTACCTTAAATGGCATAAGAGAAAGGCACAATTTCTATAGGCTAAATTCAACACAGGTGATTATTTTTTCATGCAGATAGGGTCTAAATTTGAATTTTCACTGAATTAATTTAATTATAGATTCTGGGCTTGGGAGGTCTGGTACTGTATTCTGGATGCAAAGCTATTTTCTGAATAAAGTCCACTCCCTATAGTTGTCAATAGCTGGTTGATGAGTAGGCAAATGTAGTCACCAGAACATAATGAACACACTGGCGTGGCAATAGTGACCATGGGGGTGCTATTCTGTTCTTTCTACACTCCTTTGGAATAACTACCTGACTTCATTTTTAAGATTGGTCTTCTAAATCAAAATGTCATAGAGTCTAGAAATCATATTTCTCCTGTTTTCCAGCTGTTATAAACATTTAAGAATCACAGTTAAAAGCTGTAATGTGATATTCTTTAATTTATCATCAGCTCCATCCAGACCTTCCATGGATCTGTATTTTTGAAGTTTGCACAGTTCATAAAACCACAGGTGCCAACTACAGGTAGTCCTCACCGGTCTCCAGTGCCTTCATGAAAGTTGTTGGTGCTACTTCCCCTGTAAAGTAGCCATGTGTCTGCTAAACTTGACTACCGTGTGTGAACCTCACTAAAAAACTCAGGATTGAACACAATCATGGCTTTTCCCAGTTCCATCCTGTTTTTCTTCAATTGCTCTGAGATACCCACCAAAACTGGACTAAGTTAAAACTTTTGGGCTTCTCTTGAGAGACGTCAGAAAACTGTGCCCTACAACTTTTCTTTGGTGTCTCAAATGGGACTGCCAATGTTGAAGAGTGCACATACCTTCCAAGGCAATAAAGGAAAATACTTAACCTATGAAATCAAGGAGAAAGACAAAGGAAGACAGAATAGAGCAATTTTTTTTTGAGGCAACTTTGATTTACAGTGCTGTGTATGACTAGAACTCTAGGATCACATATGTTACCACACCAGATATACCACGAAAGCACCCAGAGTCCTCCACCGTGGTCCATTGTGCCTCCTCCCCACTCTGCTCTCCTCCTTCCACTCTTCCTCTGTGGTTTCAATTCTGCAGTCAAATTTCTAGACCTTGTTATTGGTTTGGTTTTATCTGATCTTTTGCATTGTTTCTCTGCATTCCACATGTAGAGGATGTCATTCAGTATTTGTCTCTGTCCTTTATTTCACGTATCATAATCTCCTCCACTTCCTTCCATGTTGTCACAAATGGCAAGCTTTCATCTTGTCACTTGTAGATACACATACACACACACAAAGACACACACACATAGTTGAGTAGTGATCCATTGTGTATATACCATATCTTTGTAATTCTCTTGGGGGCATTTCGATTGTTTCCATAACTTGGCTACTGTAAATAGTACTGCATGAACATGGATTTGCATCTGTCCTTTCAAAATCATATTTTTGTATTCTTCAAGTAGATATCTGGGAATGGAATTGCTGGATCATATGGTAGATCTATGTTTAATATTTCAAGAAATCTCCATAATGTTTTCCATAGGAGCTAGACCAATCTATATTCCCACCAATGGTATATATGGGTTCCTTTTTCTCCACATCCTTGCCAACATTTATTGTTTTGCATCTTTTTGATATGGGTAATCCTCATACTTTGAAATGGTATCTCATTGTGATTTTGATTTGCATTTCCCTGATAATAAGTGATGAATGGCATTTTTTCATGTGCCTATTGGCCACTTATATGTCTTGTTGGGAGAAATGTCTGTTTCTCTCTTCTGTCCATTGTTTTTCACTGGTTATTTATTTCCTGTTGTTGAGCTGCATAATGTCTTTGTAGGTCTTGGATATCACCCCTTGCCAGATGTATATTGTGCAAGTATTTTTTTCCCATTTAGCTGGCTGTCAAGAACCTGTACAATGAAAGCAATAAGATTTTAAAAGAAGTAGAAGAAATACAAAGCAATGGAAATATATCCCCTACTTTGGGCTGGAAGAATTAACATTGTTAAAATAGCCATTTTTCCCAAAACAACATACAGATTTAATGCAATTTCTCTCACAGTTTCAATAAATATTACTGAAATCGATATGGAACCACAAAACACCCTGTATAGGCAAAGCAATCTTGACTCCCCCTCAAAAAAGGAAGAGTGGTGGTATCACACTGTCAGACTTTAAACTACATTCAAAGCTATTATGAGTAAAATAGTATGGTACTGGTAGACACACAGAACAATGGAATAAAATTGAAAGCCTAGAAATAAACCCATGTTTATATGGACCCTTAATCTACAACAAAGAAGCCAATGCTAAATTTGGTAAAGGAAGTCTCTTTGGTTTTTGGAAAACTGGACAGCCACATGCAAAAGAAACAAGAACACCATCTCACACTACATATAAAAAAATACTCAAAATGAATTGAAGATTTGGATATAAGACCTGAAATCGTAAAATACCTAGAGGGAAAATAATAGGAAAAACTCTCCATAATGTACGCTTCAGTGATATCTTTGTTGATTCATCTCCCACAGCAAGAAAAACAAAAGAGAATATAAACAATTATGAATATGTCTAAAAAGCTTCTGCACAGTGAAAGAAACTTTTGTAAAACAAGAAGAAAAGACAATTTTATTTGAACATGATAATGTGTTCAAATCTGAACATAAAAGCAGTTACCATGGATTTACATGGAGTATGTTCCAATCAATTGATACCTCCAGGCTAATTTAAAAAATCTACTGGTCCTTTGTTTATTAGAGACACATTATGACATAATGGTGCAAAAATGGTTGAAACTACAATGATGAAAAAACCATGTGCTATACGTGCCAATATTATGTCAAATTTAACGTCACACAAGTAAACTTTAAGAAAAAGAAAACATTGTAAAAAAGTTAAAAAGCAATAAATTCTTTATGATAAAATGTTTAATTCTGCAGGATTAAATATCATTTATAAATTTCAGGTACCTAAGAACACTGAATATATAAAGAAAAGTTGACATAAAGAGAAATAAGTGAGCTCATAATTATAGTGGGAGATTTTACTATCCTACCCTCAATAACTGATGTAGTAAGCAGACAAGAAAAATTAAGGATGTAAATATTTGAATAGCATTATTAACCAATTTAATTAATAGACTGTTTAAAACACTGCATCTAACCACTGTAGAATAGACACATATGGACTATTTAGAAAAATTGACTTTAAAAACGAGGATGGACATAACAAATCTCATAACAAACAAACAAATCTCAGTGAATTTCAATTTAAGTGATGCAGAATATAATTTCGCTTTACATTAGAATTAAGCTAGGAATTGATAATAAAAAAAGATAACTGAAAAATCATACTTTGCATATTAGCAACTCTGCCTGCTTCTGTCTACGCATCTTCTTCTGCCTTCCCTTTTTTTAAAATAATAAACCTTTTAGATAGATAGATTTTAGATAGATAGATAGATAGATAGATAGATAGATAGATAGATAGATAGACAGACACTTTTAAGTAATTCAAAAAACATATGTCCTAGTGACTATTAGGAAATATTTTGATCTAACTTAAAGTGAAACTATAATATTTTAGAATTTGAGTAAAAAATTACAATGAAAATTTGGGAAGTATTGTGATCTGAATAGAAATAAAGAATCATATCATAATTTGTGAAATGCCACTGACACCATGCTTAAAAATGTACATCTTTGGATGCGTTTATTAGAAAAAAAAAAGGAAGGATGAAAATCAGTAATCTAGCATGTACCTTAAAAAGTGAGGAAATGGGAATCCAATGGACAAAAAGGAAGTGAAAGGAAGAAAATAATGAAGCTATGAGAAATTAATGAAATAGCTAACAAATAATAGAGAAGACCAATAAAGGAGCAAGTTAACTCATTGAAAAGTCCAACAAAGTTAATAAATGTTGGACAAGACTATCAAGAAGAAAGCAGGCACAAATACCCAATATCAGAAATAAAAGGGGCAGCACCATGAAAGATCCTGCAAACATCCCAAAGAATCCTCAGATACCATGAAATGGCATCCGAGATGCACCTCAATTAAAGCTTTTTTGTGTACTTAGATTTGGAGCTGTTTTATGTATAGTTATATTAGAATGAAGTTATATTAGAATATAGTTAATTTAGAATGAAACTTAAAATATAATATGACTACTCTGCTATAATAAAATAATTAAATATAAGTAGCAATGCCTACATTTGTATTGCAACTCCAAAAGTCTTTGTTTCTGGTATTATCTATTAAAGCATGGGGTGGCTCTAGTAAACTTGCAGAAAAAAAACAGCTAGAGTAGGGAGAGCAGGAAGAACATAGATGCAAGAAACTGGCCATTTGCCATGTGTGAGAATTATTGAAGCTGTGAGATGAGTACATTAGAATTTATCAAACCCTCTAATTTTGATTGTGCTTGAAATTCCCAGGTAGAGAAGGAAAGGAGAGGAGAGGAGAGAGAATGTTTATCAAACATTCTGGTGTGGTGGGATGACTACGTGTCCCAGTTTACATCATTGACCTGATATTCCAACTGCTTCCCATTTCACCTGAATTGTCCTGTGTGACAGAATATTGTCTGTAATGTTTGCAATAAAGTAATCCAGAATGGACAGAGTAGACCTCCTCCTTTTACTTTACCTGCTGCCATGGCTGTGGTGCCCGAGATGTAATGCACCCTGGTGGAAGTGGCAGACATTGGCAACCCGGTGCTTCCATTTGTGAGCTCTGTGGGGACTCATGCTGCAGCCTATGAAGTCATGATGACAATACCAGACTCTAGGGGTGGGGATTGTAAGGAGAATGAGCAATTACAGGTAGAATGAGGAATTTACGAGAAACGAGGCTGTGCAGTCCTCCCACAAAGTGTATAGACTAGAAAAATATAAATTTTCTTGCTATAATCATTCTGTCATTTATTGAATGGAATAAAGTCTAAAACTGAACACCTTTTTGTTGTTGTTTGGTAATGCTTTAATATTTTCTAGTAAATACCTTCGAACTTGTCAAAAGCATATTTGGTAAAAATGAAGTTCTGAATTTTGGCTTCTCAATGACACTTTCAGTTGTTGCAGATAAACATGTCATCTAGGGCCTCCCTGGTGACGCAAGGGGTTAAGCACCTCACTATGAAGCAATCCGCAGCCTCTGGAGCATGAGTTCAATCACTGGCCGGCCAGAGAGATTCCCACATGGCACAGCAGACCTCTCCTGTCTTGCCTGCTGCTCCCCTCAGCAGTGTATTTCGTCGGTCTGCCTGTTCTGTTCCCCACTCTGTCTCTGGGTGAATCCTCTCACCCCCCGCATCTCTGGCCTGTACCCCAGCTCTTGTGTGCATAAATAAATAAATGTTTTAAAAAAATTGTCATCTACACAAAATGCCCATTTCTTTTACCAGTCATCATGGGACTCAATGTTATTCCTGATGACACACAAAAAAGGCAACAGACAGCTGCTGAAATATCAGTAGGTACTAAAAGAGTGATAGTTATTTTTAGAAAACAATTCCTAAAAAAATAGCAAATGTAGGTGTGGAAGGCTTACTTTTATGACATTGTCTCGAGTATTGAGTTTTATTTAGATCAAATGGCTGTTGTAAATTAATTTTACCCATTTTGTTAATACAAATTTTCTTGTGCACCTGTGAAAGGTGCAGTAACAGTTATCACTATATTGCACCATCGAGTCAATAACTTCCCAAATGTGAAGGTACTGGTACTTATACTAGTGCATCAGCTGCTTCAAATAGCAGTTAATTCAATATGCTTCCATTCTTTACACATAGTCTAATGGTTGGGAATTTACTCTGTTCAAAGCCAACTGGAACATTTTTTGTAAATGTGATTATAAATTTAGTTAAGAAGCTTAAAATGAAGGCACATTATTTGTTTTTGTGATAAAAATTCAAATTTTGTGAAGCCTGACACTAGTATAATATTCTTATTAAATTTCAGAATTGTGTCTTAATCATTGGATGTAATTCATGATTATATCCAAAGCAGCTGCTATCTTCTACAATTGAGATAAAGTTCTAGCTGTCAGTACTTAAAGAAAGATATATCACATTTTGACAGTGAACTCCAAAATTTTGTAATTAAAACACACACACACACAAACACACACACGTGTGCGTGGCTGGTACACATCCTACCTTTTGCCATACACCGTAAATCAGATTTTAGAAATGTTTGAGTCTCTGAAAAGGTGTAATTCAAACCTCAATGTCCTACAGTGTCTTTGAAGTTCTTCATGAACAGGACTTCTAAAATTTGGTTTTATGTTTCTCAAAATCAGTTGGAAATCTTTAATGAAAATATTCAGCAAATGGAACAACATGAAACATCAGCTTCCCCAGTTAGTAATTGCAATTAGGTAACAAAGATTTCCAAGGGAATGAAATATAAATGTATCCGTTTAAACACAAAGAGGAACTGGGAAATAAACTATGAGAACTCAAATGGTGTACAAGATTTAACATGAAAAACAATGTAATTGAGATTTGTGATATTTGAACTTGTCATAAGACTCTTTTGATGGAACTCCTATTTCTAATTGGATAAATTTATTTTCTGAACTGGAGGGGGCTGCCCACAACTTTGCAGAATATAAATTTAGTAAATGCTCAAAAGAATTATGACCATGGACAACTTCTTTAATGAATTTGCCTTGCAAAAATATTTTTTCAAAGAAATGTACTCTGAATTAAAGCAAAAAGACAGAACCTGTGAAAATATTTGGACTGAAATATTTATATATTTCATTATAAAAAACAATAAAAATTTATTCTAGGAAACTACTCAAGCTTTAAGTTACATTAACACCTGTAGAAAGAGTATGAGTGCAATTAAAAATACTTTGATCTACAAAGAAACAATTAAAATTTTCTACAATTTCAAATTTAAAAAGATAAAAATTTGAAAGCACTGCAAACAATTATGTGAAAAAAGTGAAAATAAGATAATATTGGAAAAAATATCATTTATAAAATGATAATTGATAACTACAGTCAAGAAACTAGTCAATATTTACTAAGAATGAAATTTTAGTTACTTTTATAATGCTTAGGTTCTCAATTTAAAGACTTTTTTGATGTTGATGAAAATAGATATGCAATATACCTTTCATATAAAGGCTTTTATCTTTGAGAATAGACTTTCAATAAAACCATTCCATAAGTCCTCAAAATAATAAATCAATTGTGGGTCACTAATAAATACTGCAAACATTTTGTAATTGTTATATAGTACCCTTCTCACTCTCAGTGTGTTTCAGTAGGTTTGCAAATTATATAAGCATTGTAATAATGAACAATTCAAGGAAAATTAACTTGGAAATATACATGATCAATATTAATTTTTAATTTAATAATAATTGTTTTAACTAAAACAATACTTTTAATTTTAAAAGTAAGTTGAGTCAATGATGTAAACGATATACTATTGAACAAATAAACTCTGCAAATAAATATTTTACCCAAAGAAAACTCAAGGCCAAGAGCGGTTACCAGTGAATCATAGCAAACATTCAGGAAGAAATAATGCCTTTTTTTTTTTCACATGAACACTTCCAGAAAAAATAAAAAGTGGAAACATTTCCTATGTGGCCAGCACAATTTTAATAACAAAATTTAACAAAGACATTATGGGGGGACGAGAATTACAAACAAATCTAACTCATGAATTTAAAAGCAAAATTCTTAAACACTGTATTAACAAGCCACAGCATGATTAATACATCGTGACCAATTTTGGTTTAGATCAGGTAATCAAAGTTGGTTTAACATTAGAAAATCAGTCAGTATACTTCACCATACTAAGAGAATTATGGAGGAGAAAGTATGATTATTCACTATTTGCAGAAAAACCATTGGAAAATTCAATATAAAGATGATATTTTAAATTCTTTTTAAAAACATTTATGTTTCATTTGGGGGTGTCTTTTTTATTTATTTTTTATTGAAGTAGCATTGCATTATAACATTATATAAATTTCAGGTGTACAACATTGAAAATCAACATGTATATAGCACATTAACTTTAAAGAACTTTCAGTGTGAACTTAATGTGATGTATACACCTGTTGAAGCTCGCTGATGCATCTGACCTGACATAATGTTCTACTACAGTTACTTCAATAAAAAGTAAATGGATACATTTTAAAAAATTAAAAAAAAATAATTAAAAATTTTCTAGCACATTACTAATTTAAGGAAACCTCCTTAATCTGATGAGGAGTATCTACAAAAAAACCCTTAGATATATTACTGGTTAAAAAATTCAGAAAGCTTCCCTTTGTTATCACAAATAAGTATGAGATGTCTGTGTCACTGATTCTGTTCAAAATCATAATGGAAGTTCTGGAAAAATAGTGCTTTGAGAAAAAAAAAAAAGTATGAAGTGAACCGGAGAAAGATAAATACTGGGGTGATTTCACTTATAGGTATAATATAGAGCACTGGTTTGATCCTGGTAGGCCTGTGAGGGTTCCACATGGCACAGCAAACCTCTCCTGTCTCGCCCGCTGCTCTCCTCAACAGTGTCTTTGGTCCATCTGCCTGTTCTGCATCCTGCTCTGTCTCTGGTGAATACTCTCACCCTCCCTCTAATCTGGCCTGTACCCTGGTTCTTGTATAAACAAACAAACAAACAAACAAATAAACAAATAAATGAATGAGTGAATGAATGAATGAATGAATGAATGAATCGTTAAAAAAAAAGAGAGAGAGAAACTAAATAAAGGACCAAAGAAAGACAAACTTTAAAAACCCAGTCCATGTGTATATATATGTATTATAGTGATGGATATATGATGCCGATGAAATGCAATAACCAATATTGTAAAGATGTCTGTTCCCCCAAATTGATTTTAATAGTTGAATATAGTTTCCACTCAAGATTCTAAAGATTTTTTGGATAATTTTGAGGGATCTTAAAAGTTGGTTCTAAAATTTATATGAAAGGGTTTTAAAAAACCCAGACTATGCAAGAACAACTGGAAGAAAAATCGGGTGAAAGAATTTACTCTCTCAGACACTAAACATCAAGACTTACTATAAAGTAGCAGTACCTAATTGTAATACTGGCTTGGGGATCAACAGATAGATCTATGGAGAAAAAAGACCAGGTATGTACTCCAAATTTAAAACAAATAAGGCACTTTACAGCCAAGGGGAAATGATGACCTTTTTCAGAAATGAGTTTTTGGGACAATTAGATATACAGATTGACAAAAAGGAAAGATCTTCTACCTGAATTACCCTCAAATGTCTATTTCAGGTAGATTGTAGTTGTAAATGTGAAAGGCAAAACAATGCATTGCTAAAATAGAGTATAGGATAGCACATGCATTGCAAAGGAGGACAAGATTTCTTAACCAAAACATAAAAAATCATTATCCTTAAAGGAAAAAGTTAATAAAATGAACTATATTAAAATTTAAAACATTTTCCTCAAAAGACACCAGTAAGAGAGTAAGAAAGGTAAGCCACAGATGGGGAGCTGATATTTGCAAGTTAATATACAGGGCTCATATGCAGAATAAAAGAAGTCTTACAAATCAGTAGGAAGACAACTCCTTTGATATAAAAATACCCAAACTATACCCAACAGAGGGTATCCAAATGGCAAA